GGAGGAAGTCACACAAATTTGAAAAGCTCCCACATGCGAGGAGCTCTGTGATATCTGGTGAAAGTGGATTAGAAAAAACAACTTTGGTTCAGGCAGCCTGAAAAAACGTACTGATTCAACGTGACTCTGTCGATATAGAATAGAACTTAGAAGAACTAATTCACACCAGCCCCAGTGTGTTCCGGCCCAATTTGGTGCCGAAACTCACTGGATTGTATCCCGGCCGACTCACTGTGTTCTGGGGCAGGAGTGGGCATGGTGGTGCATTTAAGTCAATGGCACCGCAGCCATTCGCCCTGGGTGCAGTGCGATCACACGGACGCATGGCAGATGTGCTTGAATTATGGTCCGGTGTGGTCAGAAAAAAAAGTGCATGCAGTAGGGCTGCAACAACTAATCGACATAATCGATTATTGAAAAAGTTGTCAACTTTTTCATTCATCGATCAATCGGCTTCCGACTGTTCACGGCTCCACACACGCTACGCGCCACACCTCCTCCCCACTTCACGCTCGCTGCTGCCAGACCCGCCCGGCCGCATCCACGCTCCACACGCCGCACCTCCTCCTCGCCTCACGCTCACCGCCCCCCCCCACATCCACGATCGGAACAGGGACGCGGGGAGAAGAAGTAAGGAGGAGCAGTTGTGGGTGGATGACAGCCGCTGATAGACAGGACCGATCTCAGAAACAAGTTGCTGGAAGACTGCTCAGGTAAGCCTGCACTTTCCCACACATGGTGCTCTATAATGTATTGCTGGGATTGTGGGATTTGTATTCCTCTATAGCTGATGGTACATTCTGCTGTACTGTATATTATACAGAGCAATGTACCATCAGCTATAGATACCTTATGTATAATGTATTGCTGGGATTTGTTGTATTCCTCTATAGCTGGTGGTATTCTGCATTGGGCTGTATAATGTGCTATTGCTGGGTTTTGTAGTCATCTATAGTCTATGCCATTCTTCATCATTGCTGTATAATTTTAAACTTTTAATTTCACTATATTGCACACCACCACTATCTTTTTTCTTTTTTACTTCCACCGCTCCAAGCTTGCTCCTGTGATGGACTACAATCTCAATACAAACTAGTAGTTCTATCACTGGAGGCGCTCTCTGTGTCTTGTAATTCCCAAAAATAGTACTAGGTCTTATTTTCGGGGTAGCCCTTATTTTCGGGGAAACAGGGTAGTGAGCAATAGCCCGCTATATACTGAGCTTCGGGTCACGGGAGGAGGTTAGTATATGTCCTCCCATGACCCTTTGGCAAACTATGGGATAAAAAAGGTTACACCCATAGTTCTTAATTAAAGATAAACTCCAGGCAAACAGCTATACAAAACCATAAAATAAAACACATACAGGAGCTGTTTTCCCTGCTAAATGATTCATATTTCTATCCAGCCTGAAATTAAAACAGCTCTGCAACTCCACACATCCCTGCCTGACAGACAAGGTGACTTCATTCAGTTCTGCAGTTCAGTAGCACTTACAGGTGCCCTTTCCCCCCCCCAACCTTGATCATGAATAATAAAAGGAAAAGCTACAGATAAACTAATCTCTCTTGCACTCTGCTTCATCCCCTTATCAACAGGTTCCTTGCAATGATTGGATCTTTGTGCTGCTTCTCCCTCCCCAAGCCATAGCTCTACTCTAGAGGGGAATGCAAAAGAATGTTAAGTCAAATTTAGGCAATTACACTTCTTGCAATTAAAACAATACATTTAACGATGCATTAAATACAGAGCTGCACTAATTTATGCCTTCCTGGAATTCAGCTTTAAAGTAGTATTAAACTTACTCTCCTTTTTGAGTAATGCATTCAGATCAAATAGACATTGCTCAGCAAAGTATTTATTTACATTTTTGCCCAAGCCCAGTCATCAAGTTCCCAAACAGTTCCAACTATCTCAACTCGGCTTCCCTGAACTTCCTGTCAGAACAAGATCACAAGGGAGAGCACAGTCTCCACCAGCTGTCCATCTACTTGCTTGGAGGAGGGAGGAGGGGAGTTGATGGCCTAGGGGAGTTGATTGCCTAGCTGTGTCTGTGTGTTTGTGGAGACACACACAGCTTACTAGCACACACAAGGGTGGCTTCATAGGACCCTGCAAGGGACAAGTGACAAGCTGATTCTGAGGATAAATACAACTTTTAAACCTCAAGTAGCAGCATCAAGTGATTTGATCTGAATTTGAAAACGCTTAAAAACCATTTGGCTTAAAATATCACCCCAACAGCTCTACGCATGCAACTGTACAAATGAAGAGTAGAGGGCCTAAAACGATATGGTAGCGGAAGCAAAAACAGAAACTGCTCCTGAATACACAGCATTTCTTACAACTGTAAGCAGCTTATAAAAGTATCCTAGAAAAGCTGCAGCCTGGATTGTGAACAGGAAAACAACAAGTCTTACCTGGGTAGGGTCATTAAAATAAACTAGGCAAGCTCTTCAGCTGGGCCTGTCAGATATTTTAGCATATTAATCCTAGCACAACTACTTAAAGAGAATGTTGCTTCAGAAAAAATGAGAGCTGCTGACACACATGAAGTGCAGGCAAGCAGAGGAATTGTACACCTGTCAGCAGCTTTCAATATTCCCAACATGACAGAGTCTCTTTAAGTGACAGTGCTGGCATCTGTCTTGACATTTTTCCTATATGCCCAGGGCACATACTGAAATGAAGTCTCAACTTGAAGATCTACCATGCCTTCACTTCCCCACATTCAAAGGTCATGACATAGACTATATTGCCAAAAGTATTGGGACACCCCTTTAAAAAATCATTGGATTCAGGTGTTCCAATCACCTCCATGGCCACAGGTGTATAAAACCAAGCACCTAGACACGCAGACTACTTCTACAAACATTTGTGGAAGAATGAGTCGCTCTTAAGGTGCCCATACACTGCTCGATTCTCGTACAAGAATCGGGTGAAATCCCGCGATCGTACGAGAATCGAGCAGTGTGAACTAAGACGTGCGACCGTTTCTACTGTACGGTCGCACGTCTTTTGTCGAGCCAACATGCTTGAAAACCAGCCGAGAATCGTAGGATTCTCGGCGGGTTTCTAGCCTGCTCGCCCGATAGCTGCGGAGCGGGCCGGTGTGCGCACGCGCACACTGCCCGTTCTGCATTGCCGTCATCGGAAGCCCGCCCCTCAGCGGGGCGGGCTTTCGATGATCGCAAGTACGATCTGCCCGTCCAAGGTGGGCAGATCGTACGGGCTTTCAAGAAGCATACGACCATCGCAAGACAAAAGTCTTGCGATGGTCGTAAGGTGTATGGGCACCTTTAGGGGCTCAGTGAATTCAAGCGTTATACCGCGATAGGTTGCCACCTGTGCAATAAGTCCATCCGTGACATTTTCTTGCTACTAAATATTCCACGGTCACCTGTTAGTGGTATTATAACAAAGTGGAAGCAACTGGGAACAGCAACTCAGGCACGAAGTGGTAGGCCACGTAAAATGACAGAGCGGGGTCAGCGCATGCTGAAGCGCACAAGTTGCCAACTGTCTGCAGAATAGCTACAGACCTCCAAACTTGATGTGGCCTTCAGATTGACACAACAACAGTGCGTAGAGCGCTTCAGGAATGGGTTTCCATGGCCAAGCAGCTGCATCCAAGCCTTAAGTCACCAAGTGCAATGCAAAGCGTCGGATACAGTGGTGTAAAGCACGCCGCCACTGGACTCTAGAGAAGTGGAGACGTGTTCTCTGGGAGTGACGAATCACGCTTCTCTGTCTGGCAATCCGATGGACGTGTCTGGCTTTGGCGGTTGCCAGGAGAATGGTACTTGCCTGACTGCATTGTGCCAAGTGTAAAGTTTGGTGGAGGGGGGATTATGGTGTGGGGTTGTTTTTCAGGGGTTGGACTTGGCCACTTAGTTCCAGTGAAGGGAACTCTTAAGGCATCAGCATACCAAGACATTTTGGACAATTTCAAGCTCCCAACTTTTAGGAACAGTTTGGGGATGGCCCCTTCCTGTTCCAACATGACCACGCACCAGTGCACACAGCAAGGTCCATAAAGACATGGATGAGCAAGTTTGGGGTGGAGGAACCTGACCTCAACCCGATAGAACACCTTTGGGATCAATAAGAGCGGAGACTGCGAGCCCAGCCTTCTCGTCCAATATCAGCACCTGACCTCACAAATGTGCTTCTGGAAGAATGGTCAAACATTCCCATAGACACACTCCTAAACCTTGTGGATACCTTCCCAGAAGAGTTGAAGCGGTTATAGCTGCAAAAGGTGGGCCAACCCAATATTGAACCCTACGGACTAAAACTGGGATGCCATTAAAAGTTCATGTGCGTATAAAGGCCAGTGTCCCAATATTTTTGGCAATATAGTGTATTTAATTTCAGCTAGTGTAATTAGGTAAAAATCTGTCTTTATATGAAGCTGCTACACAACGATACAACACAATGATAGCTTAAATCAGCCTTGCAGTGTGATTGTCTGCTATGCAAATGAGGAGGTTCTAAAGGGAGGTTAAAGCAGAAAGAGAACTCTATGCAATGTTCACTAAAAAAACAAGGGAGTGGCAAGAACCATGGCAAGTGAATGACATTTGCAGACGTACAGGCCTTTAAAGGCCCTATTCACACCTATATCTTTAGGTGCGATTAGGGATTCCTAACCACATGTAATTGTATCACATAAATTACATGCGGTGTGCCAGTGTTCAAATGCAGCAGCCGTCACCCAATCATTAACTTGAATGGGTGACAGCTGCCGCTCGCAAGATGGCACATTAGGGATTGCTGCTGCAGGAAATCGCAAGTTCCGGACACAGGACTCCCCAATCGTATCTAAAGATAAAGCCGTGTAAAGTATATTAACCTCCTTAGCATATTAATGCAGAAAACACAGCAATGTTGGATGGATCGACAGAGAAATATGTAGCATATCACAAACTACATCCAACAAGTACTACACAAGTGCCTAGAAGAGTTTCAACTGAACGTTTTAAGATTTAAGAACTTACCATTTGTGTGATATCCGGGTATGCAGATTCTACAATTATCCCTCGATTTGTGGATACATATTCAACCAATTCATTCAGAGTGGCTCTCTTTATCTCTTTGCTCTTCAGATCAGATATTGAGTCCATAAAATCAAAGAGCATGCAGCACTGCTGCAGCTTCTGACAGAAGAGGTCTTGCTGGTCATTGGAAGTGGCATCTACAAGAGAGAACAAGCAGAGATTTGTCATTTGCTGTGTTTGTAATCACACCTAGCTGGTTACACCTATATACCAATAAAACACATCATCTTTAATTCTCTTAAGGAAGCCTTTCTTAATGGTTGTAAGCAAAATCAACACAAGAAAAACAAAAACAGAACACAACTGAAGGTTCTTGAAGCCAACCCACTAGATAAAAACTGAAACATCTTACAAAATCGATAAGGACGGATGAAAATACCATAAATTGCAGCTTGTTATAACACACTATTTGTCTAATATTGTATCAAATATAAATCAAACTTAAAAAAATTATTATAAATGTTTGAAAATAGGGATGCACAGATACAGATACTAGTATCAGTATCAGTGGTGAGTATGTGGGCATCGGCGCGCCGTGTATTGCACACACAAAAAAAGGTACATGTACCTTTTTTCTGCGATTGCTGTCACCCCATTGAAATTAATGGGGCCGCGCAGCAATCGCTGTCTGTCATAGTGCATGACGCGCAATCCCGGATCGCTTAGGTCTGCATCGGTCCTCAGGGTACAATCAAGCCGGCTATCTGTTTATAGTAATGTATACAGATTTGACCTGGATGGTTACAAGTCTTCACCAGGGACTAAACTAGATTTATATAGAAATTAAACATCCCAAGATGTTCAATTTCAGTTGGATAAGACACAGCTATGACCATTAACATTACTGTTAAAGCAGATGTAAAGGCCATATAACCAAACCATTGTTATATCGATCATCATCTGCACTGTGTTACACGTGGAAAGCTTCTGTATTAGTCATTTGATACCTTCTAATATGCTCATTAACTTGCGGTGACAGAACAGCTTCCCCGACCTTCCTTGGAAATTAGGGCTGCAGCTGTTAAGAGTAGATGTGCCAAGAGTCACTTCCTGAGACATTCTAAGAGGGGACTGGACTCCAGCCACAGGGTGCCGTCACCGTCAATCATCATGTCAAACTAAATTACATGTGAATGGTTAGCCTCTTCCACAGCAAGGAGGAAGAGGTTATGTTACCATGCAATGCTCTTCTTCAAATGGGAGGCAACACAGGAAGGCATGACAACACTGTAGTGAACTTGTCACCCTTCACACTTGCATTGTCACCATCCAGCAGAAACAAGTCATAAAAAGTACTATTACTGTCAGGATACACAGGTTATAAAACTGGAAAACATACTGCAACTCCAACATGCCATGCAGGTATGAAATATTCTCAGCCTTCATTGTTACAGCCTTTAATTATGCCTATCTGTAACAGTTCCATTAGCATTTTATTCCTGCTAGCTGCACAGCGGCCCCGACTACTGGAGTAGGCTTTCTTACTTTACTATATCATTTTTTTATTTGAGACAGACCCACAGGGATTCTGCAGATATACCGTCTAAGCACAATGCAAATCAATAGAAGCATTATTTCGGTCTGCCAATAATACTGTATTTTAGATCACAGGAACATTACAGGTTACTGGGCACAGTTCCAGGGAGACAATCTTCAGATCTTAGGCTGCAGCAATAAGCGCATGTACAAGTCAGGTCGCAAAACAGAAGACGGTGAACGCAGGGATAGCAGAATCGAATGTACCTTACTGCAACCATCCAAATGTTCATTACAGCCACCTGCAGTAAACGTTCATTATAGATCATTTGGCAAATGTAAGTAACTGCCTGTTAGCATTGAAGCTTGTCCACCCCAAGCACTTTACTATTGGCCAGTCAAACAACCAATCATCGTGACTGGCCAGTACAAATGTGCATGCGAGGCAGGAGGGAGCTACCAGGATGTCAGAGCTTTGCCCAATCATAAAGGCCTGGAGATTACAGAGAGTGGTGGGTGTTGCAGGACGCTGCAGGTATGTGAGGGCACCTATACTAGTCTGCATTTTATACTGATATACGATTTTGTATTTGTTCGTTTTAAGTAACAGGATTCCAAGATTCATTTTAAAGAAAAACTTTTTTTTTTTTAATGGTTTTGGATAAAATGGGGTAAGGTTGAAACCATTAGGTTTTTACTATTGTGCTTCCATTGGGAGATTGCCCCTTAATTCCTGTCCTAGGATTTGGGGACACAATTTGAGAGGACATTTCTCCAATATGTGAAAAACAAAACAAAAAAATGGTATACTCCATTAGAGCTGCAGCTAACGATTATTTTCAAAATCGATTAGTTAGCCGATTATTAAGTTCGATTAATCGGTTAATCGGATAAACAATAAAATAAAGTTTAAAAAATGGCTCCAGTGATAGAACTACTAGTTTGTATTGAGATTGTAGTCCATCACAGGAGCAAGCTTGGAGCGGTGGAAGTAAAAAAGAAAAAAGATAGTGAGAGCTGTGAACAGGGCCAACTGATCGGAATTCGATTAATCGATTATTGAAAAAGTTGACAACTTTTTCAATAATCGATTATGTCGATTAGTTGTTGCAGCCCTATACTCCATACATCTAAGTTTCCATAATGATATCTAAAAAATTGTATACGTCGTATCGCTTTTTACGTCCCGATTTGCAAATGTCACGTGTATTTTGTGAACATACAGCTTTTTCTATAGAATAAAAACAGACATCTATCTATTATATAGAGAGTATTTTAGGCAGTGTAGAACTTTGTACTCCAAATAAGATGGTCTGTCGCCAAAGCATCGCATCATCAGGAAACACCTGAACAACTACATGTATACATTTAAAAGGGAAGCTACAGAGGTTTTAGTCAAGCCTATTTAAAAAGGAGTACTAAAGGAGCTCTAAAGTCCCAGCATATACTACCCTGGTATAACAGCAGCATTGTAATAGGAATACATAGTAGAGTTGTCTTTGATAATGCACTCAAAGCTCACGTGAAAAAAAAAGAGTGCTGCCTTCCGTCTGTCCATCACTTTCACCAACTTCCTGGTCCCAGTGTGCTTTCCATTCCCTTCCCTGCTGCTTGATGTGATGGATGCAATTTCAATTTCTCAAGACTGCATACCCCATAATGCATTTATTCCAGCAAGCAATGATAATGTCACATTGTTCAGCTGTTCATTATTATGAGCTAGAAAAGATGAGCTGGAGGCCTTTGAGGATCGGGCAAGTACAACTGTTATTTTTGAACTAGACAAAAACAAGCACTTAACCCTTGCAGTGCGGGGGTAGTTCCACTACATGAGTTAAAGGAGAACTATGAGATGAGTGATTTCCACTCACCTTATAGTTCTAAGCCGACCTGTGACAATCAGACTGTCACAGGTCGGCTCAGTAGATCGGGAGGTGAGGGAACACATACCAGGTTCCCTCACCTCTCGATCCTGTCACGGCTCTCTGCCATGACAGAGGAGGGGCTGGATTCCCCTCTCCCCGCGCTGACTGGCGGAACGGACGGGGGAGGGGGCGGGTACAGCTGGCTCTGCCTCTAGATAGGCAGAGCCAGCTGTCACTCACGCAGCTGGGCGGATCCCGTCATCTAAGTCGGGATCCGCTCCAGGTGCGGCGTCTCAGTATACCGCGAGCTGTAGCTCGCAGTATACTGAGCTTAGGGTAACGGGAGGACGCTAGTTTGTGTCCTCCCGTTACCCCAAGGAGAACTATGGGGAAAAACACTGACCCCATAAGTTCTCCTTTAAGTAAATGTTCCAGGGAGTTCTGCTTTATTGGCACCAGCTTTACTCTGCGGTCTGTGACCTGAACAAGCAAAGCAACCATTGAAAGCCGAGAAGTCATGAAAACAATTTCCTTGGAGTTCTGCTTTAAAGCTTTCTATACATCTCTTCTCTCACAGATTTCTTGAACGGTGCCAGGGACGACATGCTTACAATTAGGGATGCATCGATACCAATACTAGTATCGATATCGGTACCAATACCGAGTACTCTTACTCGCCCAAATGCTCCGATGCCTAGCACGAGTACTTCCTGTATCAGGAAGCCGGACAGCGCGTCATTACACGCTGCCCGGTTTCCTGATTGGCCGGGAATCGGCTCTATGCTCTCTCGTTACTTGTGATGAGAGAGCATGGAGCCGACTTTCCGGCCAATCAGGAAGCCAGGCAGCGTGTAATGACGTGCTGCCTGGCTTACCGATTGGTCGGGAAGCTGGGCGCCGTGTAATGACGCAGCGCCTGGCATTCTGATTGGCCGGGAAACTGGCTTCATGCTCCCTCGTCATCTCATGACGAGGGAGCATGGAGCCGGCCTCCCGGCCAATCAGAAAGCAGGGCGCTGCGTCATTACACGGCGCCCGGTTTCCTGATCGGCTGGCCAGACCGCTCCGCCTGGGTACCGGAGGAAGGCTGTTTTCTGGCTGGAGAGGCCCCGTAGGTCACTTTCTTGTTAATCGGGAAGCCGGGTGGCGAGTCTTTACACGCCACCGGGCTTCCTGAATGGGAGTTCCGTTACTCTGTAATTGGTATCGCCGAGTACCGAAAACAAATTATCGGTACTCGGTACCAAAATACCGGTATCGGTGCATCCCTACTTACAATCACAACAGAAAAGGCTCTGAAAAGTCACCTATCAGTTTTTTTACATGCACGCCTTATGAGCCTCCTGTCATCTAAATATCTGAGAGTGTGCTCATCATCACATCTGATCACGGATTACATCATGTCACTCAAACAACAAAGCCCGCCATCACTTGTGACAACTGCTCAGCTTTTAAAACATTCAGCTTTATCTGTTCTCCACATAGATTTACCCATTGACAAATGAAGGGCTTTGGAAAGATCTGTGAATGGATTACAGCTCCTTGTCACTTATCACCTGCTGTGAAGACGCATGCCCCATCAGGCCTAAACCTATAAACAAGAAATGCTTCCGTAGGCTGCACTGAAATAGTGCAGCAGTTTGGGTAATAAGGTGGCATTGAGGATGCACACAGTCAACAGGCAGATCAAATTATTTGTGGAAATGGGAATCCGCACACTGCAGAATCAAATTGGATGACCAGCAACCAGAGAATTTTATACAGCAGGGTGCATGGTGTGTGCACTGCTAGGCACG